GTTAAAGACGTTGATGAAGTGTTGTTGCAGAAGTTGTGGTTGTTGGAGATGATGTAGAGACAAGTAGTAGGAGTAGAGGATGTCGTTGTTGGAGATGTTGTTGGAGAAGAAGTGGCAGATGTTGTGGAAGTAGTGAGTGCAGAGTAGTTGAAGAAGTTGTGGATGTTGTTAAAGACGTTGATGAAGTCGTTGCAGAAGTTGTGGTTGTTGGAGATGATGTAGATGACGTAGTAGGAGAAGAGGATGTCGTTGTTGGAGATGTTGTTGGAGAAGAAGTGGCAGATGTTGTGGAAGTAGTGAGTGCAGAGTAGTTGAAGAAGTTGTGGATGTTATTAAAGACGTTGATGAAGTCGTTGCAGAAGTTGTGGTTGTTGGAGATGATGTAGATGTAGATGAAGTAGTAGGAGTAGAAGATGTCGTTGTTGGAGATGTTGTTGGAGAAGAAGTGGCAGATGTTGTGGAAGTAGTGAGTGCAGGAATAGTTGAAGAAGTTGTGGATGTTGTTAAAGACGTTGATGAAGTCGTTGCAGAAGTTGTGGTTGTTGGAGATGATGTAGATGACGTAGTAGAGAGAGGAGGATAAGATGTTGGAGAAGAAGTGGCAGATGTGGTCGTAGTGAGTGCAGGAGCAGTTGAAGAAGTTGTGGATGTTGTTAAAGACGTTGATGAAGTCGTTGCAGAAGTTGTGGTTGTTGGAGATGATGTAGACAACGTAGTAGGAGAGAAGAGGATGTTGGAGAGATGTTGGAGAGAAGAAGTGGCAGATGTTGTGGAAGATAGTGAGTGCAGAGTAGTTGAAGAAGTTGTGGATGTTGTTAAAGACGTTGATGAAGTCGTTGCAGAAGTTGTGGTTGTTGGAGATGATGGAGAGATAAACGTAGAGAAGGAAGAAGAAGAAATTGTGGATGTTGTTGAGATGTTGTTGGAGAAGAAGTTGAGATGATGTTGTGGAAGTAGTGAGTGAAGAAGTAGTTGAAGAAAGAGTTGTGGATGTTGTTAAAGACGTTGATGAAGTCGTTGCAGAAGTTGTGGTTGTTGGAGATGATGATGATGATGAAGTAGTAGGTTGAAGAGGATGATGTTGGAGAGATGTTGTTGGAGAGAAGTGGCAGATGTTGTTGGAAGTAGTGAGAGCAGAGTAGTTGAAGAAGTTGTGGATGTTGTTAAAGACGTTGATGAAGTCGTTGCAGAAGTTGTGGTTGTTGGAGATGATGTAGAAGATGTTGTTGGAGAAGAAGTGGCAGATGTTGTGGAAGTAGTGAGTGCAGGAGTAGTTGAAGAAGTTGTGGATGTTGTTAAAGACGTTGATGAAGTCGTTGCAGAAGTTGTGGTTGTTGGAGATGATGTAGACAACGTAGTAGGAGAAGAGGATGTCGTTGTTGAGATGTTGTTGGAGAAGAAGTGGCAGATGTTGTGGAAGTAGTGAGTGCAGGAGTAGTTGAAGAAGTTGTGGATGTTGTTAAAGACGTTGATGAAGTCGTTGCAGAAGTTGTGGTTGTTGGAGATGATGTAGATAGCGTAGTAGAGGAGAGACGTTGTTGAGAGATGTTGGAGAAGAAGTGGCAGATGTTGTGGAAGTAGTGAGTGCAGGAGTAGTTGAAAGTTGTGGATGTTATTAAAGACGTTGATGAAGTCGTTGCAGAAGTTGTGTGTTGGAGATTGTTGGAGATGATGTAGATGACGTAGTTGTAGAGAGAGATGAGAAGAGTGGCAGATGTTAGATGATGTTGAAGCAGAGTGCAAGCAGTTGAGAAGATTGTGGATGGCAGATGTTGTGGAAGTAGTTGTGGTTGCAGAGATGAAGTAGATTGAAGAAGTTGTGGATGTTGTTAAGACGTTGATGAAGTCAGTTGCAGTTGAAGTTGTGGATGTTGTTGAGACGAGATGATGTTAGAGTTGTGGTAGTAGGAGAAGAGATGGAGTTGTTGGAGAGTTGTTGAATGTTGTTGAGAAGAAGTGGCAGATGTTGGAAGTAGTGAGTGCAGGAGTAGTTGAAGAAGTTGTGGATGTTGTTAAAGACGTTGATGAAGTCGTTGCAGAAGTTGTGGTTGTTGGAGATGATGTAGATGACGTAGTAGGAGTAGAGACATGTCGTTGTTGAAGATGTTGGAGAAGAAGTGGCAGATGTTGTGGAAGTAGTGAGTGCAGAAGTAGTTGAAGAAGTTGTGGATGTTGTTAAAGACGTTGATGAAGTCGTTGCAGAAGTTGTGGTTGTTGGAGATGATGATAGATGATAGTAGTAGAGAGATGTCGTTGAGATGTTGGAGAAGAAGTGGCAGATGTTGTGGAAGTAGTGAGTGCAGCAGTAGTTGAAGAAGTTGTGGATGTTGTTAGAGACGTTGATGAAGTCGTTGCAGAAGTTGTGGTTGTTGGAGATGATGTAGATGACGTAGTAGGAGAAGAGAGAAGAGACGAGATGTTGGAGATGTTGTTGGAGAAGAAGTGGCAGATGTTGTGGAAGTAGTGAGTGCAGGAAGTAGTTGAAGAAGTTGTGGATGTTGTTAAAGACGTTGATGAAGTCGTTGCAGAGAGTTGTGGTTGTTGGAGATGAGATGAGATGACGTAGTAGAGAGGATGTCGTTGTTGGAGATGTTGGAGAAGAAGTGGCAGATGTTGTGGAAGTAGTGAGTGCAGGAGTAGTTGAAGAAGTTGTGGATGTTATTAAAGACGTTGATGAAGTCGTTGCAGAAGTTGTGGTTGTTGGAGATGATGTAGATGACGTAGTAGGAGAAGAGGATGTCGTTGTTGGAGATGTTGTTGGAGAAGAAGTGGCAGATGTTGTGGAAGTAGTGAGTGCAGGAAGTAGTTGAAGAAGTTGTGGATGTTGTTAAAGACGTTGATGAAGTCGTTGCAGAAGTTGTTGTGGTTGTTGGAGATGATGTAGATGACGTAGGAGAGAGAGGAGATGTTGTTGGAGATGTTGTTGAAGAAGTGGCAGATGTTGTGGAAGTAGTGAGTGCAGGAGTAGTTGAAGAAGTTGTGGATGTTGTTAAAGACGTTGATGAAGTCGTTGCAGAAGTTGTGGTTGTTGGAGATGATGTAGATGACGTAGTAGGAGAAGAGGTCGTCGTTGAGATGTTGTAGAAGAAGTGGCAGATGTTGTGAAGTAGTGAGTGCAGTGCAGGAGTAGTTGAAGAAGTTGTGGATGTTGTTAGACGCGTTGATGAAGTTGTTGCAGAAGTTGTGGTTGTTGGAGATGATGTAGATGATGAAGAGAGGAGAGGAGAAGATGTTGAGAAGAAGTGGCAGATGTTGGAAGTAGTGATGCAGGAGTAGTTGAAGAAGTTGTGGATGTTGTTAGAGACGTTGATGAAGTCGAAGCAGAAGTTGTGGTTGTTGGAGATGATGTAGATGACGTAGTAGGAGAAGAGATCGTTGTTGGAGATGTTGTGGAGATGTTGTGGATGATGTAGAAGTGCAGTGCAGTAGTTGAAGAAGTTGTGGATGTTGTTGACGTTGATGAAGATGATGTAGTTGCAGAAGTTGTGGTTGTTGGAGATGATGTAGAGCAGATTGTGGATGTTTTGTTGATGTAGTTGTCAGATGATGTTGGAGATGATGTAGATTTTTAGTAGGAGATGACGAAGATGTTGGAGATGAAGTGGCAGATGTTGTGGAAGTAGTGAGTGCAGGAGTAGTTGAGTTGTGGATGTTGTAGAGACGTAGATGACGTAGTTGGAGAAGAGAATGTTGTTGTTGGAGATGTTGTTGCAGTAGTGGTCAATGTTGAAGAAGAGGATGTCCTTGTTTGCGATGTTGTTGGAGCAGTTGTGATCGATGTTGTTGAATTAGTAATTGCAGGAGTTGTGGGAGGAGTTGTGGTTGTTGTTGCTGATGACGTCGATGACATCGTAGGAGAAGAGGATGTCCTTGTTTCAGGGGTAATTTCTGTACCACCAACTGTTGTTATTGAGGATGCCACATTTGTGGTTTCAGAGAGATCACCATTATGCACCCTTATTGTTGATAGAATGTTATTTAGCGTGGGTGTTGTTGATGATTGTGTGGTAATTTTTGAAGTGATAGAATAACCATCCCCATGGATCCTCCAGCACATATAAGCTGTAGTCAAAAGGAATTAGAAGGTTGCTTGTTTTACCACATAAAAGTGTTATTGGAATGATATTTGTTTTTTTTTCCAGAGATTCATATTGTTAATGTACATATATAAACTAATGTTTTTGACAAAGAGAAGGAGTTCTTGTCTTAAAAAAGGAATTGATGCTGTAATATTAATATGCGATAATTAAAGGTATCGCACAAGCCAGCTTGTTAGCTTGCCAGTGAATGAAGTACCTGTAGATAATGTTAGGAACCTGAGCAACATTATCATAACAAACTCTGTCACTACATACATTGGCGGAATAATGTTAATAAGTAATAAATAAAACTCATTAAATTGAATGTCTTTTCTCGCTTATGTACCTAAGGAGCAAGCATTAAGTTAAAGAAACTATGGATCTGTTTCATAAATGCAGTGTGGGACTCAAATCCATGCTCATACTGTGCCTAACAGCATCCTCTAGCCATAGTAAAATTGATATACCATGGTTTCTATATTGCTTCTATATTGCTTTATTCACGCTTTCCGAGAAACACAGAGTAAGGGAAAGGAGAACACTACTGTAGGGAGAAACTGATTCCAAAAAGGGTTTTGACTTTGATTCACATGATCTGATATAAGTCATGGCCTCAATTGGCCATAGGGGCATGGTCCTCTCTTGCTACTCTGTTGTCAGAAACATAAAATCAAATCCAATAACAACAAAAATATTGTGGTGTGTATCATGCATCTCCTGAATATCTCAAAAATGTTGTAGTGCGCCTTTACCCTGTATAGTGGAGCAGTCACTCATTGTGGGATCGGTGCTACTCTACTCACTCCATGTGAGCACATTTACCAGTCACAGGGTGCCTTCGGGTAGAAGGATGGGGAGGATCTGGTTGGCTTGCCCACCTGTCTCCTTGTTGGAGCAGGGGTCCTGGTCATCTTTGGCTGATGACATAGCTGGGATTGAGCCCAGATCATGGAGTTCAGCTTGCAAGCTGAATGCCTTAACCATTGAGCTACTCTGTCTTTTTTTATACTGGATTCTGTGTGTTTTGTTTTCTCAACAGAATCAGTTCATGATAATGTTTAAGTTTTAATGTAGACATGAAATTTCTCTTGTTTAAATTTGCTTGACAAACACTGTTACCTATTGCATAGTTGGCATTTCACATATGTTTCATTCCACATCTGGATGTGTAAAGAAGTATTTCACTTGAGGGCACAACTACTATATCCCTCCTAAGATTCAAACGGCAACCTTTTAGTCATAAGTAATTTTTTCTAACTAAATCTATTCCCCTTGCATATCAAATGATCATCTCCATGTTACACACATCATTATTGACAAGATTCAATTTGATCTGACTGATGATGCGATAGTGTAAATGAGAAAAAAAAAAAAAAACTTTTTTACAAGTACACCAAGTTTATCTGATCAGTGACATGCTTTAATTTTTAAAATTGAATTCATTGCCTAACCAAGTATTTTCAAAAGACCATGCAGACTGAAAAATGACTTAATTGTGCCCACTGTGATCAAGATCAGTAGCCACAGAAATTAAATAAAACAAAACAAAAATAAGCTATTCATTTTACTTACCAAATGTGAAAAGTGTGGACACTACTCCCCTTCCCTTCATCTTGACACCTTTGAAACCACTGTGTAATGAAAATAAATACATTGTCATACATGAACAAATACACAAGTAATGACGTCATGAACAGTCTAACATTATGCCATTGACAGTTTCCACTTTTTGCAGAACAAATGGAAGATGAGTCAGATCCATGAATTGTTACATCGGTACTTTCAAGACTGTGATCCATGTCAGCTGATGAAGAAATGAGAAAGGAATTGTAAATTATTTTTCATATTCTCATTTTTGATGCATTATTGTAACATGCATTAAAGATATTAAAAAAAAAACATAATTTAAATTGTAAAAGGTTTCAAGTGCAAAGAGTTCTTAGACATTCACATTAACAGTCCCATACTGCCACTGTACATAACTGTGCTTGTAGATCATAATGATACTGATTTTGTCAGTACTTTGGCCCCCTAGCTGTTGTTCTTGTGTTTCTCCCTGTCTGTCAGTGTCATTCATGTGCTTTTGTTTACAGTTCCCATGTGTTCCGGCCCTGCCCCGCTCTCTGCCCTGTCTCTGCCCACCTGATTTCCTGATCGCCTCCACCTGCCTGCCTGCCCACCTGCATCCCATCTCCTCGTCAGCCCAGCCCTATATATACCCTGCTTGTCTGTCTTGTTGCCAGTTCGTCTCAGTGTTTTCTTTGTTGTGCACCTGCCTTATCACTCGTGTTGTTGATTCCCATGCTGACTTCCTACCTCATCCCTGAAATGAGGCCTGAAATGTGGTTATATTTCACAAAATTGATTTCTTTCTTGAATTATGCCTTTTTTGATGTCTGTTCAGGAATGCTACATCTGTGGGTGCTATATTTGGGATGATATTCATTGCGTGCTTTCAATGCTTTATTAAACTGTTTTTTTAACAATATAGTGCAATACCACTGAACTTGCTGAGCAAGATGTACAGGTTTAATAAATCAGGGACCACAAAATTGCAGAAGGTGCACAATTATTTCAGTACTGATCATGAATTGGCAAGGCATTCTCAATACAACTATTTCTGGCAATAGTAGTCAGACCTACTTGGGGGAAAAAGTTCACAATGTATAAAACTATTACTTGTGTGTCTATTATACTACAGCAAAATCTGTGTTATCCCATACCCTTTCCTTTTGTGCTCAACTTTTCTGTTTTACTTCCCTGTTAAACTCATAAACCTTTGTTCTTTCTCCTTTCTCAATCAACCAAAATACTACATATCACTGAAGTCCTGAAAATACACAATAGCACCAAACTCAAAAATACATGGCCTGTTGCTTCTATGATGGTCCAACTAAAGATCAATGTAAAAAAATTCGTACATACTAGCTAACATTATTTAACAAACAACAACAAACTGGGTTGACAAGTTGATATATTGATCTGACTGTTATTGAATGTATCCTACTAAAGAACTTCAGTGAAGCATGGGTTTCTTTCTGCTCAGTCTACATTTACATTATTCATTTGGCAGACACTTTAGTCCAAAGTGACTTACAAGTGAGGGAGAGTACATCACAGGCAAAAAGCCACATAAGGAGTCAACAATATTAGAAGTGCAGCATAACCAATTTTCAATAGTGAGGCTTCTTGGGGCTTGAGGTGCAAGTGTAAAAAAGCACCCAATGTAGCTAAGGGTGGTTATGAGGTTCCTCCCAACCCTCCTGGGTTGTTTTGTTGTTCATCTGCTCTTAATAAATGCTCGGAGATTTTGGCATGCATACAGAGGAACAATTGAAAGATTTACTTTTCAGTCAATATTTACCCTTACATTTTTAGAACTGACACAGCGGCATTCTTTCAGAGGTGGGGATCTGAGAAGAAATGTCATTGGTTATGTGGAATTGTGTAATAAAATCAATGACATGTTAGCAGTTTGCTCCTGGGCAAGGCTGTGGTAAAATAAGAAAAGGCCAACATGTACTGTAAACACTGTCAGCAGACAGTCTTAACTACAGTGACCTGCAAGATGTGAGTACATTTACATTTATATTTTTTACATCCAGCAGTTGCTTCCTCCCCAGAGCGACTCCTCAAGTTACAAAGTTTAGCACAAAATGCATCCAACAAAACATTATACAAACAAGGACACCACCAACCACACATGAACAAAAGATAACACAGGGTTGAGACCACAAGTGTGGCTCCACATGTAAGTGTAACAGAAGTACCATACAATCAAGTTAATTCACAATATCGAACAGGGCACCCAGTAAATGCCCTGCTCAGCTGTCCAGCAGATAAGCAGCCAGCTGGGAGGTGGAAGCCGAGACTAACACGATTCTCTGCAGTGCTAATTAGTGCACTGTTAATAAATACATCACAGTATTTACAAACTACATTCATCCTGAAAAATTTCCTTCATTCACAGTTTTCATGTAGCCAGCTGAAATGGGGATAGCCAAAACCACTGACAAAATAGCAGTTAAAATTCTTGCAATTCTTGCAATTTTTCTTTTTTTGAGAAAGCTGAATGTTAATTAAATACAGACTAACCCCCACACACACACACCTGCTGAAGAGTAGTTAACTCAGTTGAAGGAATAAATGATAAAAAAGAATAAAGAATAAAAAAAATAATATGGGACGTAATATAGCTTGTTTGGACTGTAGCACTGCAAGGGTTGATAAGACTAAACCATCTGAGTGCAAGTACATTATCGGTGCTTGTTTCCTAAGTCTTGTGATCACTGCTGCCATGTTTTCTGTCTGTTATGTTGGTTTTCTAGTTTTTTATTGTTTGTTTGCACATTATTTTATATATTTGTTTTTGACTGCCTTGTGTACTGAACCTTGTGCTTTGTTTGTTTTTGTTATTAGGAATAGCCATTAAATTTACAGACTTAAAATGTGTTGGTGGGATACTCAGAAGTAATCCACCTCACTGTGTTATACTTTTTTCAGGAATTTTTGGCTTCCCCAATTTACTTTTAGCTAAATAATAACTGTTACAGGTATTAACCATTTGCCATCACAACATCACCACTGATCTGAAAAGGTTTTGAGAGTAAACAATCAATTAAAAAATAGCCAAATATCAGGAAATATAAACCCACCACCCCTCAAAGAAAAAAAAAGACAGATTATTCATGAATCTCAAACTGGGCAGATCTACCATGTGCAATCTTTAACATGCTGATTTTGGCAAATGAGTGATTTGCTGAGGAAAACAGAGCACTTCTTGATTGTCAAGTCAATGATTAACAGCACACAGGGGCTTTCTGGGGTATTCTGAGGCTCAAGAAGACTAGACTCACTCACTCTCCCATCAGTATTGTAAGATCTTTTTGTACCCTGATATTAACAGGGCCAGCTCAGTAAGGTATCAAATTTTAAAACTGAAATTCTTATTCAGAAAGTCATGAGCACTCTTTCAACCATTGCAGTTGTAATAAGAGATAGGTCTGAAGCTGGTTTAGAACTGCATTCCTTGCCATCCACACTGTGCTCCAACAGATATAAATATCTCATTGGCCAATTTAATGTTCCTAGCCATGGAAACCAACTGCATTCCCTTTCTTACATCAAGAATTGACATCTCTGCCTGCTCTGCTGTGCAGTACCATTTTTTCACAGTCATTCACTTGATTTAGTAGACTTAATACAGTGCAAAACAGAGTTAATAACAAAGTATGCAAAATATATAATATAATAAATGTAGTAATACATCCTAAAATGAACAAATCCATATGCTGCAGTTCCTGTAAATCCAGTTCCCAAATATATTAGATGGTAGTTTCTTTCTCTCTCTATCTTCACCTTTCTGCCCCCACATTTATGACAGGTCGTTGGAATGTGGTTAGACTGCAATATTGAGAAACAACATGAGACACTGTCTTCTTTTGAGAGATTACCCTCATTTGCATTTACCCTGATATGTATCTGATGTATAATACTGTAATACTGTAAAAAACAAATACTGTAAAAATACTGTCAGCTAAAAAATAATACCATTATTGACATAAATTTTATTTTCCAACATCTGTAAGATAGTGGCCTTTATTAATGATTCAATGGAATCAACCAGTCTTATATTTTTCAAATAACACTTATTTCCCCAAAAAAACAGGTTTCACAATTATTGGCACCCCTGGCTTAATACTTTGTGCAACCAGCCCTGATAAAGATGACAGCCTTGAGTCTTTTCCTATAATTTGTGATAAGGTTAGAGAACACATTTGGAGGGATTTTTGACCGTTCCTCCATGCAGAACTTTTCAAGATCACTGATATCTTTGGGTTTGTGCTTATGGACTGCCCTCTTCAGTTCAGACCACAGGTTTTCAATGGGATTTAAGTCCAGAGACTGAGATGGCCATTGCAGAAAATGGATTTTGTATTGGTATTATCTTAATGAATCAAAGAGTTAAACCTTGTATGTATTGAGCAATCTATCTGAT